GGCCAGAGCACTCAGAGCATCCAGAGCTTACTGGGAGACAAGTGGGAAACAAATGGGACACAAGTATAAAATCATGCGGCCAGAGCACTCAGAGCACCCAGAGCTTCCTGGGAGACAAGTGGGAGACAAGTGTGAAATCATGCGGCCAGAGCACTCAGAGCGTCCAGAGCTTACTCGGAGACAAGTGGGAGACAAGTGGGAGACAAATGGGAGACAAGCCTGAAATCATGCGGCCAGAGCACTGAGAGCATCGAGAGCTTACTGGGAGACAACTGGGAGACAAGTGGGAGACAAATGGGAGACAAGTGTGAAATCATGCGGCCAAGCACTCAGAGCATCCAGAGCTTACTGGGAGACAAGTGGGAGACAAATGGGAGACAAGCCTGAAATCATGCGGCCAGAGCACTGAGAGCATCGAGAGCTTACTGGGAGACAACTGGGAGACAAGTGGGAGACAAGTGGGAGACAAGGGTGAAATCATGCGGCCAGGAACACAAGCCCGGAGACAAACTCAAAATCATCCGGCCCGAGCATGCACCCCTTTAAAAGGAGTAAGAACCCCTCACAGGTAAACCTGTTTGGGGAACAATATTAAAAAAGAACAGGTATAGCTTCCATCCCAGAATTGGTTGAAGGGAAGACCTACAGGAAACCCATAGTTTTGGGGGTGGAAACCATGGTTTCCTGTAGACTTCCTTCTAGCCAATTCATAGCTTCCAGCTGCCTCAAGTTAGTTACTTGCTGCGCCACCAGTAGTTGGTTCTGCCCCTCCCACTTTGACCCTGTCCTGTGAATGTCTACATTTGCGCACTCAGAAGCCCCAAGGAGGACCAAAATTGTTGAAAGAACACGCAAAAGTAAATTAACCACCATGTGGGTCAACGCTGAGCTAGCAGGTTGAGAACACACATTGGCAAACTGAGTCCTTTATAGCCCTGTTTAGCGAAGAAGCCTCGTTCTGAACGTGCGAGAAGAGCCGGTAAATCTTCAAACGTGTCAAACTAATTTTATGAATCTCTTTCTCTCTCTAATATATGCCCCAATGACTCTGCGTGCTAAAATCAACTGTAGGGGACACTAGGGCATACAAACAATGGCCTGGGCTCCTCCCCATAGTGAACAGCTTTGGACAAGACTCAAAACTCCTGATCAATAACATGAGGATTTGGTCTGCCGACTTGGAGTGGTCTGCGAAGCGCCACGTGGTGTGGGCACATCGCATATCTAGGGTACGAAGTAGTACGAAGCAAAAGACATGACAATGCATCCAGGCTGAGGCTTGACCTCCATGCTACAATGGTCATGGGCGCCGAGCGTCACCACAAACAGGGAAGCGCTTGCTTTTAGCTGCTTCACTCAGCGGGCTTGTCATCCAAACAAAGGGCTGAGGAGCCCCCCAAGGTGTGGGCCTTGGATGTCTTTCAGGCAGCGTACCAGCTGTTTGGTGACAACTGTAACTAGCAAGGCTACATGGGAGTCTTGCAGAATCTATATATATATAATCTGCTCATCATGTTTCCAAAGCCAAAAATGCTCTGTTTAACCCAACTCCTTGCAGCCAGGACACGACTCCTGCCAGGATAAAGACACAAGGCAAAGCCTTCTCGAGTGGCAACTGATCCTCTATGGCAGCCAACACCTCGAGATGGACCGTCATTGAGTCATGGACAAAACAACTAGCTGCTAGGCAGTGGATGGTCAACACGATCCCATCACACCAGCCTCTAGTCACTAGTCCCCCGTCACGTCCTGTCCTACGGGCAAACCTGGCCGAATGGACACCTCTCAATAACCGCCCGCACTACAAATCCTTGGGTTCCTATGAGAACCGCAATGGAGGTGCAAGGTGGAGGTGGCAAGGTAGCGACATGCGAGGTGTTGCAATGCAATGTTCTGTCTCAATTAGGAGGCTGGCACTTCACCAAGCAACTCGCTCTTTCCCTCTCCCTCCCTCTCTCCCTCTCTCAATCTCTCTCAAAGGCATCTGCGCTGACCGACTGCTCTTGAAAAAGATACTTATTATCGTCTGTGAGTCTGTGACATATACCCCGTACACGTACCCAGCACGGCAATACCAAATGCCTGCAAAAAGGCATTTGCTATCAGCCTCGGCCTAAGGTGTACTGACAAGAGTCCATGTGGCAGACTTGCTGTCCGACAGTCACCTGGGCCAATGAGGTAGAACTGAGTCAAAGGCCAACATCCTCTCTGGCATGGAAAGAAAACATCGCAATGTTCAGCCCAATTGTTGGGCAGACTCTCTGACAACAAATTCCGCAGTTGTCAAACTTGTGTAGCTTCCTGGTATGAAGGGCGCGAAAGGTTTGAAGCGAGAGGGTGCACTTTCACCGTCAGAATTCGCAGCAAAATTGCCAAAGCGTCCCCTGTGTGAAATGAAGATCGCGAACTTGCAGCCACAGGCACACAACAATTCAAAAGCGCCATTTGTAGGGCAGTGCTCACTTGCCTCAAGGAATTGGCAATGAGCCTGATCAACTGACAATTTCCCACCATCATCCAAGCCAAGACGCTTTCCTTCCTCTTCAGCACGTTTGTTGAGAGTGGCGACCAAGCCAAAGGGGATAGCAAATGATCCTGTCTCTGGCATGATCGAGAAGATGAAGCAAAGCATGGCCTGAAGGAGGCAAGGTTTTTTGCTTTCTCTAATCAATTATTGCCATTCGCACAATGGACAAGAGCATTTGTATAGCCAAAAGCGGTTTGACGTGATTGTTGTTGGTGATGGGCCCTATCGTTCTCCAACACTTACAAAGGTCCTAGGTCAGAGTCATACGGTCACTAAACAAGTCTAGCCGACTCAGCGACAGGTATTAAAAGCTAGATTGGCTCTCAACAAGCCTTTGAGGAAGTCGAGTTCCATTTGGGTGTATCATTTACTTCTCGAAACGAAGCATTGCTTGGGTTGCGATGCCTACTGCTCGCCAAATAGCTGCAAGTACAGTCCCAAATCTTGCGCTGCTTTGCTATTAACTGAAAACTCTCAAGCAGTATGTCCAAGCCGCAAACACAGCGTTGTGGCCGACCACAAAGCCAGCAAGAAAGCTCACAACAGCACCAATGAGGATGCACGGAGCATAGATAAGACGAGGACGCAGCTTGGTCTTCATGAGAATGGCAATGATCCTTATTACCAGGCATTTCAAATCAAAAAAACAACATGTGCCAACATGATTTGCGGGCTGTGACACCGCTAGTCAGCAAAATACAGCAAACATAGTGGTTGATTTGCTTTGTGTTTTTCAACATGCAATTTGTCAAATCAGGACTGGGTGACCAACTCATAGCTACATGCCAAACTTCTCCGATGTCTAGATCTCTGAGCAATGAAGTATTTGAGGGCCTCCCGCCTTTGGTGGAATGGGCTGGGGATGGCCTGAACCACACAGTCTAGGGCTAATTGCTTGAGAGTCACTTCAACAACTAAATAGAAACCACTGACCACTTCAAATACAGAACATATTGAAAAACTGCATCAGCTCAACAATGCTGAAACGGATGGTGTAGTGGTTATAGTTACATGGTGTGTTTACAGTTAAATGGTTTGTCTCAAGCGTTCAATATAGATCGATCATTCAAACACACAAACCGCGAAAACTGCATCGCCCAGGATCACCAGTGCCGAAATCAGCTGTAAACCCGACCTCCAAAGCTCAGCGGAAGATCGGTCACAGCCAAAGCCAAAGCTCAATTGAATCCGCGGTCTTTTTCAAGGCTTCTGGACACATCACTGTTGTGGCATCAATTTATTTAATGAGGGTGCAACCAAACTCATGGATATTCATTGTATGCTCTGAACCATTATGCACAGCAACCCGCCTCAGCTGCCCGCCAGTACTGAAAGCATCCATGCCCATGGCATAACGCTGCTTTTGGAATGGATTCCCGTCCTGAGCACCTGGGAGCAAGGCATTCGAGCAAGAGAGCATCCGAATAGAACAATTGAACGATGCGAGTATGCGGAGCTCCGAACAGGCAGGTGGACATTCAGCACTGCGAGCACCCAAGCGCAGCCCTCTGTTGTCTTGTGGGATGAGCCCTTCCGAAAACTGGACACCGTTCACAGGTCGCTTAAAGTTTCCAGCACAGGATTGGAAATCAACACACTCGAGCACAAACCACAAAGACTCAACAAACTGGCAAGTGTCACTTCAAATGTTTAGGATGTTTTAGGTACGGTATCCAATGTTCGGGACAGTTAGCATAGTACAGGTGTCGAACGACTCACCCTGTACATTGTATGGGCCAAACTAAGCTTGCACGTTCCGGCCAGTGTCTCCAAAGAAATCATCCGTCTGCACACTCTTCATTTTGTTTCCCGCTTGACCGACTGCATTGGTCCAGTGCTCGAACCGTGTGACTAATGAATTTATGAAGTTGGCAAAGACAGGAGGTGAGTTTAAGTTGAGAAGACGGGCAGATAAGTCGGTGTCGAAGATTGTGGATGCAAACGATTTGTGGAACAAGATTTCTTATAATGCTTGGGCGATCGCAGATCCAGGGATACAGTTTCACATGCCATATTTCATGTGTCCCGCGAAATCACGTGCCTTGGTAGACGGAGTCTGCGAACCACTGTGAAGAATAGTACGTCCAAGCAGTGTTTCCAATCCACACCAAGCCTGGACACAAATGGTTTGGCTCGATTCGCAGATTCGCTGATGGACGAGTGATCCGAATAGAACGAGACAGCCATGAAAATGCCCGTCGCTGAAAAAATTGTCAAGTGCCATTCATGGCTGGGCAGAAGTGCAACATTATTCTCAAAACATCTCAAAACACTCTTGCGATTCTGATTGGCAAGGCGATGCTCTTGTGCTAGTGACTATGACTAGGGCCAGAGTCCAGAGTTTCAATCTCGAGAGAATGACGCTGCATGCAGGTACCCCTTCGACACAAGATCTCACTCACGTCAAGGAGCACTGTACGAAGGCCAAGTGGTACAGCAACCGGGGCATGCCTAACAGCCACACTCTGCTCTCGGCTGCTTCTAAGTCTAAATGAGTCTAAATGTCTACGCCTACGCTGCAGTCACTGAAAGCACAGCATGATGTGAACTGCTCGGCTCTGTTGTTCTGTCTCTCTCCCAATGTGACGTTTTGTGGCATGTACGCCCAACACTACAAGTACCATACGACGTGTTGACCTTACTAGAACATGTTCCACGGCAAAGTTGCCTCGCAGGGATTTGAAGACACTGATCACAGGGCTGCAACAGGAGCTCTTCTCCCCGTCCCTGCGTTTCAGCGGCTCCTTTCAAGATCACCAAATAAAACATATATATCATGTCACCTGCATCATGGCAAGCTTGAGAACTGCAGCAAAACTGGTCAATCCATTCACAGTCTTCACGCACAGTCGTTGGATTTTGTTGGTACGGTCACTCCGGCAGTGCGGTGTCTAAACGCTCTCTGTCTAAATGCTCAGATGAATGGACGGCATGGACATAACATATTGACTTGAATCTACACTCTGTCCTCCTTCGCAACCATAAACTGGATTGCAATGCACACAGTGTTCAAAGAACAAATTATCCTGAGTCAAATCAGTTGCTAATTTGGGGCTGCACACCTCAAGAAAAATAGACAACATGAACTGATTCGGCGTCAACCTAGTCAGAAACTACATCCTCGTAACACCTGTTTGTTCCCATGCATCTTGTATAGAAAACACAACAATCGGCTAGCTTTGAGTCAAAGATCAGCATAAGCTTGAGCATGTGGTGAGCTGGCACATCCCATATCTTCATAATGGAGTAGCCGATCATATTCCCAATGGCCATGAAGAAGACAAAAATAACCTTCACAAGGCAGGGGTGGCTAGTCAAGAGTCGTACCAAACCTGAGCTCACTCTCGGTCTACGATGGAGTTGCAGCACATGGTTCAAAAACGTCTAGATTGAACCTTTGCCGCAAACTTGACGTTTGCATTTCAGGACTCTTCTTCGTTTCACCCCATTACCTGCCAAAACCATCTGGGGTGCAACCCATGTCCAGCTGGGGTGCCTCTGCGGGACCTCCCCGGATCGGAACCCGCCTGCATGGGAACCTGTTGCTCTTTGGTCGCTAGGTCTGACACCAGCGCCCGGTAGGGAGTCTGTAGAATGTTGATCGTGACATCCATCACCCAATACATTGGAACAGCAAATGCAATCCTCGATCAGGGGAGACGTGATTGAATGCGTGAAGACTACGTGACGTCTGAAAAGGATCAGGCTGAAATCAGGTAGAGAATCATGAAAGCATCAACGACGGCAATGAGAACATTCTGCAAGCATGTATGTTGGGCGACCAAATGCGCACGAGAAGAGGAACTTGATGCAAAGGGAAAGAGGTTCGAAACAATGTGTTGTGATACATGTCAGGTGCTGATAAGCTGCTTCGCGGTGTTGTCCGTGAATATGTGAGCTGCAGCTGCAAACCTTGGCAGGAAGCAAAGTGAAACCTCTACTTGCAGGGTTGTGTTGGGCGGCTCGAGTGGGAATATAGCCGCATGTTCTCACATCCAATTGAACGCATTGAAGCAATGACGCGTGTGCATTATAAAATGTTTCTATATATAACTAAATGTATAACTATATATTAAAAATGTTATACAAAACTATATCTTCACAAGCAGTCCCATGCATCTCAAGGTTTGGGGGTTTGATAGCATCACCCTGCCTCCAGGTCTTTTATATTGAAAAAGAGCATCTAAGCAAAAATGCTACCCCCGACTTACCCCGTCTTACCCCGTTCTCCGAGGCACAAAATTCCTGCGACCCAGGTCGACACGAGTCCCGCCAGAATGATGGGGCGACGGCGCCCATACGGTGAGGTCAAACGATCAGACCTGAGGGCCGCAGGCGACAAGGAGCAAGAAGCAGGGGCTCCTGGCCGTACTGCTAGGATAAAGGACGTTACTAGGAGCAAAGGGTCTTCTTGTGCAGCCGCATGTAGAGGTCTAAACAACCGTCTGCCCTGCCCGTCTGCAAAATTGTGACGGCAAAATCGGACTCCCTGAAGGTGGTTGGATGGGGGGCTCACAAACCAAGTCCATTTTTGTCCACTGGGCCATACTGGATGTGTTCAGCCATCTTCAGCCTTTCAGGCCTTGGGCCTTGTCTTTAGGTGGCAATGACTCCCTGAGCTGAGAGAAGGTGGCGCGAAGCTTTTTCAGTTCGTGCAGCCACAAGGCTATCCATAACTTAACTCCATCAGAAGGGCCCAGCAGAGTCGGTTCGCAACATTTCACAACCACTACAACTAAGGCTGAAGCCATGCACCCACTAGGGGACCAGTGAAGAAGCCAGTGATTGGCCCAGCAATGTTGTTCCTGAGCGACAGGAAGCAAACATGAAAAAAGAAGGGACCTTATGAAAGTGGCCCTGGCCTTGTTCTGGAACCTGCAGCATGTTGACCTGTATTACTCTTGGTTGTGTTGCTGCATGCTCAAGCTACTAAAGGCATGGTTGTAGCTAAGGCTCAGAGTGGCCAGTGAAGCACCAACTCCCAAAAAGCCCATGTATGGTGCTGCCTTGCCCGCGCGGTGATTCCACATCTACCACTCCTGTGAGAGCTTTTTCATGCTTTTTCAGTGTCAAACTGCCGTAGTTTTCGGTCCAAGGGGCATTGGGCCCAATAAAGCACCATGTCACTTGAACTCCAAGCTGGGGCAAGGCCACCAAGGCCAGTTTCCACAATGGGAAGTACATTGCCTCCTTGGCCTACCAAGCACGTAGCAAGCTCCAGTTGATGCAGCCAGTGAAATGTGGATGTGCATGTTACAAGGACAATTTCCAAACACTTCTACACACAATCCTAATAGATGCAACAAATGCAAACAAGCTGCAGGACCTCCAAAAAGGGCACTAAAGGGTGAACAATAGAATCGAACGGACCATGTATAAATACAGTTGAATAACGTTTGCAAAAGAGTTGGAGAAAGGCTTTGAAGCACAGCGCTATCTACTGTATATAAATTTAAAGGATTTTAAAGGTAAAGACGTTGACGAAGAGTGAGCCAATTGAGAGCAAACAATAATTAGATGCGGCTGGGTAAGCAAGATTGGTGAAGCGGTGCTTTTGCGAGAGCAACAGGTGCTAACTTTCAGGAAGGCTTGCACAACTATATAAATACACCGGCCGGCCATTGTTTGTTCAGTTTTTGACATATTTTGAGCCTCCTTTCAAAAGGAATCTAAAGTGTGCATGGATGCCCAGCTTGTATAATCCTTTGTCGCACTGCCCGCTGAAAGTCTGGTGAAGTCTCCCACGGTTCGCCCGAAGGGACCATAGAGCGGCATGTCAGTGAACTTTGCCGCTGGATCAAAGACGCTGTCAAAAAGGCGATGATGGAACCGGGCGCCGGGCAGCCTCTGTTCAAAAATGCCCAGAGACACCTGTACACTGTACCGCCTGTACCCAAGCAGGTTTGAGTCTGAGAGAGGCAGTAGCCGCAGTAGCGTATGGGGCTTCCTGCACGGAATGGACTGGCACATTTGATTGATCGCCGCTCCTATTTTCCTGCCTACATGTCAACCTACCCTTGCTGCTTGTTTGCGAGTCCTCAGTTTGTTCCAACAACGTGGAGCATGTGCTGCATTTTCTGAAGCACCACTAGCTTGTCGGCATGTTCTCAGCCTCCGCTTAACTCCTGTTTGTCCGTAGCCTGAAGCTGCGGTCCTCAAATCTATCAGGCAGACGAACTTGGAATGTGGACAACCAAGTCAACCTGCCTCTCTGGAGCTGCCCCGCTTGTTGGCTGCTCCGATGCTCTGATTGCTGTTTTCCGCGGGATAATTTGATACTCACCGCGAAATCCGCTGTTAACACCGTCCTTTTTGGTCTGTTTGCGTGGATCGCGACCGAACCTGTTTGCAAGGCAGAAAGCGTTATTGCCTGCAGGTTGGCAACCTACAGATAGATCGATTTGTGTTTGCAAGGTAGAGCGCGGGTGATGTCTGCTTTGTTGCCTGTAGG